AATCTTTCTCACTTGCAAAGTTTTTTTCATCAGGAAATCAGGAAAATATTGTGTTCAAAGATAAATAAACCATACTAAATTTCTTGCATCTTGCAGCATATTCAGAGAGAGAGAGAGAGAGAGAGAGAGAGAGAGAGACACACACACACACACACACTCAGAAACACCTTCAATTCCTCTGTGCTGATCATGCCAAAACCATGCCAGTAGACTCTAATCGAAAATGATACTTGCTCTTCAAGCATGTTACAGCAACTGCAGATATACCTCACCTTTTACCCCAGAGAAGAAATGAAAACATATGGCAAAGAAGAGACGCTCCATGATTGCTGGCTTTGGTTCCATCATAAATTGGTAGCGTACCTAATAGGGATGTGTCCAAAGAACCAATAATTGACGTTTGATTTAAAAATCTTTTGCCTGCCACCTTCGGCGTTCTTGGTGCTGGTGATGTGCCTGGCCTCCATGCGACGATCTTCATGAGCTGTGGCGTCCGCCATGGGAGTTGTCTTGTATCAATCATCCAAGAAATTGCCTCGTGATCCAAGAAGCATAAGGTTTTAAGTAAGATCCACCCAAAAGACCGCAGAAGCAGCGCTCATACAGCATGACCGAGCTGACCACCACCGTGAATTGCGAGGACATTCGTCCGCCAGCGTTTTCCTTCCGCCATGTGTCAAAGAAAATATTTTTGTGTGTGGAGGATGCTCCTAGCTACACAAGCGACCTGAATCATAAATCCACAGCGCCTATAGCAAACCCAATTGAAGCAAATAGTGCCAAATACACTTCCATGGCTGTAAAATTCCAACAGCTCCTTTTCCTTCCCCAACTCCTCTTGCGATTTAACCGGTTTAGGCCTATTATCAGATGACATAAGGCCCATAATCCACCTCCATCCAGTCAGGCTTCACGCACCACCAGCCAAAGGAGCTCTAATTTTAAGGACTGCTTTCATGAACTCCACCACTGATTCCACCGTTTCCATGACCTTTCTCCGCCCTAAAACTATCAAATCGATAAAAGGCTTTCAAAATCTTTCGAGATGTTGATCATAATTTTAATTTGCCCAGCCAGCTAATGCTGGGCAGTCAACAAGTGCTTAATATGAATTTGACATTATGATTCATTCATGAGTAGTTTTGCACAGAGGGTAGATTCATTCATTCGTTAGTTGTTTACGGTGTCTCGCAAGCCTTCAGCACACAAGCATGTTCCCAGACATGGATGACTACTTAGTATCCAGGGCTTTTACGACTTTGGCTGCAATTGTGCCCCAGCCTGAGGATTACAACTGGCTTGGAAGACAAGGCTGAACAATGTGGAGAGAGTGTGTGTTGCGTTTTGCGGCAGCAGGATTTGTGTGTGACGAGGCTGTGTGAGAACAATGGCCAGCACTACTTTACAAGCGGCTGGGTGTAACAAACATGAGGACAGGGACTGTAGTTTATGTTGGAACCAAGAAGAGATCAAGGCACAATCAAAGGAACTAAGAACTAGGACGTGTATATGGAAAAGCAGAATCTTTTGACTCCTCTGATACAGGTGTAAAGGAAAAGTACTGGGCACAGCAGTGTGCAGCAATTTGCACCACAGAAGCAGTGTGTGGATATGAACGTTTCTCCTTTAAGGCAAGAATAGGCTAGACAGTAAGGGCTCAAGTTGAGATGGGGAAGGGAAAGGAAAAAAAGAAGCTTCTTCTTTCTCATGATAATGCATTTCGATGGTTTTCCATCATGGAAGCCAAGTTCTCCAAGAAGAAGGTATTCGGAGTGGTCAAAGGCCGTGAGGAAGTGCTGGTTCTTCTCCCTCCAGAAGAAGTTTCTTGAATGTCTATGGAGCAAAGACAAGCATATCAGCGACGGCATAAAGATTTCAAACAGAACAATGTCATTGTGAGAGCGATGTTGTTTGAGCAAGTATTTGGAATGCCAGACTTGAAGAACACAAATTCGGACACATGTGAGGTATGTCTTCAAGCTAAGATAAAAAAGAAACCACTTCCAAAGAAAACATCTACTTAAGGTAAAAATGTTTTAGACTTAGTTCATGTCGACATTTGGGGAGTGTCACTGGAAAAGTCAATAGTATTCATTACTTCCTGCTAATTGTGGATGATCTAAGTTGTTACATAGCTGTTTATTTCTTAAGATAGAAATCTGAGGCACCTTGTAAGTTCATAGAATGGATTCAAAAGTCAGAAAATAAATGTGGGATGACAATTTGCACATTCATAGTCAATGGAGTATGGAGGACAGGAACTTCTCTCATGAGAATTCCAGATGATCCTTGCATCACATGGTATCTTCCTCCAAATCTCTACACCATATGAACATGGTCAAAACAGGGTTGTGGAGTAGAAGATGTTAACAATCCTTGATGCAACCAGATTGATACTCAAGGCGTCCAATGTTCCAGTATTCTTTTGGGCCAAGGCTGTGAATTCATGTGCAAAATATTCTACCTACAAAAGCAGTATTGGATAAAATGCCATATGAAATTTGGACATGTTCAAAACCATCTATTACATACTTACATGTGTTTGGGTGTGTAGGATACTTATACATTTCATCTGAGGAAAGACAAAATAAATAAGAAGATCATTCAACGAGATGCATGATGTTTGGCTATAGTGAGAATACTAAAGGTGGCTATCAGGTTTGGATTTTCAATCAAAAGAAAGTGCTGGTAAAGTATACTATTTTCTTTTGAGAAGATGTACTAGCATCATCAGTCAGCACAAGAAGTTTTTTCTCTAGCTATGGATGATAATGGCTCTAAACTCTTAGAATGAGGTACTTCACTTTATTATTCTAATGAGTTAAATATGGTTCAAGCAGATCTAGAGAATAATGGCTTATCACAATGAGAGAATGGTGAATCTCTAAATGCTCCAAATGCTAATTCACTACCAAGATGTTCTCTCAGACCTTAGAAACCTACATCCCACATTTTATGTTATTATGCATAAACCACACAAGTCATTCACGAGCCAACAAACTTAGATGAAGCACTCTCTGGACCATAACATTTTCATTAGCGAGAAGCAATGCAAGATGAATATCATGCTCAATTGGAGAATGGTTCTTAGACAGTCATTTCACCACAAGAGGTTCTTTGTAAGGCTTCAATCAGATACATACAACAAACCAAGTGAGATTTTCTCACCCATAGTTAAGATGGCTTTTATTCATTTTGTTGTTACAATTGCTAATCACTTAGACCTTAGGTTGAGTAGATGGTTGTCAAGAATGCATTTCTCAATGGCAAGTTGGTGTATATGCAACAACCACTAGGTTTTGCGATCCAGGGGAAGGAATGCTATATTTGTAAACTCTGACAATCCATTTATGGATTAAAATAGTCATAAGAATCTATTGTTTTCATGATGGCTTACTTATTCTCGTGTGTTTATGTTGACAATCTAATCATGGCCAGAAACACAACAAATCTTAAATGGCTTAAAGAACAACTCTCCAAACAACTTCGAATAACAAATCTTGGTAAAATTTCCTTTTATTTGGACTAAAAATTGAAAATTGTGCATGATAGGAAAAATTAAATTCTAAAGGTCTATCTCAAGTCTTGGTGGTTTCTTTATTGCACACCCAACTGTAACTCTAATGCTTCAATTCAACAAGCTCTCCAAAGCAAGTCAACCATGTTCCAAGGGGGAGAAGAAGGAGATGGCTATGGTTAGAGCGTTAATGTATTTAGCTCTATCAAGCAAACCAGACATAGCTACAACTGTTTCCAAAGTGTGCTAGTTCATGCAAAATCCCAAAAAGAGACATTGATATGCAGCAGAGCAGATTTTTAACTATGTACAACAAACTTCATCGCTTTATCTCGAGTACAAAGGGATGGCAGGAAGAGAAATTAGATCAGGTGCACTTATACCATATGGCATGGTAGATGCTGATCTTGCCGGCAATCTAGATGATAGGAGATCAACAACTGGGTATGTGTTCAAATTCTCTAATGCAGCCAAAAACAAAGGATGGTGGCATTGTCTACTTGTGAAGCTGTTAATGAAGCTTTATGAATTCAACACATGCTCCAAGATATCAATTTTGAGATGCAAGTACCATTGAATGTCTACAATGACAACACAATCCATTGTGAATCCAATGCATCATGGGAGAAACAAACACTTTGAGATGTTTCATTACTTTATCAAGGAGCAGATAAAAAAAGAACAAGTCAAGCTGAGATACATTCCCACAACAAAGATGACTATGGCACAAAGGCTATAATTGAAGTCTGACTGTTTGAATGACTTCAAAGACAACTCGAACTGGTCTCATAGGGGGAGTAGTGATTTAATTAATAGACATCAGATTGAGGGGGAGTGTTGGGAACCAAAGAGAGATCAAGGTGCAATCACAAGAACTAGGATGTGTATATAAATCAAAAAGTAGTGTATCAATACATGCCCAATACTTTTCCTTTAGGTGATGGCTTTGGCATGATGACAAGGGTGGCTTGGTTTTGCTCCTTGAAGCCATATTTGGCTGATGGAATCGCTTGGTGTGATAGAGGCCAATCTCGTTGTCTGGAGAATGGGATTTGAGCACAGGGCACTGGGGCAGAGTGGCCTATAGATGAATATTCAAAGGCAGTGGTTTATCGCCCGTCACTCAGACCAGCATAGGAAAAGTTTTGTGGATCGAGTTGGAAGGCTGGCACTGGTTTCAAATCTGACTTGTTTTTGTTTCCGTAAGGCTGTTGCTGTGGAAACCGTGATGGACTTAACATCCAACAAGGTGTGGCTTCTCCTGACGACGCTGCCAAACGTACGGTAGGTCGTGTTCTTGCAGACCAGTAGGCTTAACTTGCCTCCAAATTCTGCGCCAGTGCTTTGTCAACAAGATATCCCATGCTCCTTACTCAGGCACACCAAAACACCTAGCACTCCTTGTAATAGTACACCAATTGCCAGGCAGCGGCAGCAGTTGCCAACCATATTTGTGTTCTGCACGCAGAAGGCCACGCTAAGGTTGGAGAAGATGCAGATGGATTGCTCATAAAAAGTCTCAACACAATACATCTCTACATTCTGGTGCTCCTTAGCATAGTGTTCCACACTGATGAAGCCCGAGGATACTTTCCTTCGATGGCTGATGACTTAACCATCCTCGCAGCCACTTCAGGGGCACCTTGCATGGGACGAAAGAAGCAGGGTAATCGCCTCCAACTAGTGCACAACGCTTTCACTCCTTCTTTAACGAGATGCGAGAAGGGAAGGACAGCATGAGGTCGAAGAGAAGACGCCACGAGACGTAGCGTTTGTTCATGGAGCGCGACACCGGATTGATCATGTCCTCGTGGATGTAATGCACCACGAGCATTCGAATCTGGTGCACGCGAAGCAAGTCACCGAGAACATCAAGATCCGGGGCCTGTTCCAAGCCATTCACCCAGACGTGCACGGTGAGCGTCTCAAACTTGAAGTGATCTACATCACCCTGAAACCACTGCAATGAGACGAAAGGATCAGCGCTTGAGTGGTAAGAACGAGTAAAACTTTAAATCTATGCACCTTAAGAGAAAAGCCATCGAAATGGATGCTTTCCAGGCTGACAAGCGGGCTCAAAATCTCGCCAATTGGAATGGCAATCCCATTGGTGGTCTCCGTGTTCTCAAAGGATAGCTCGGTGATCATGGGCGTGAGATTCAAGACGTGGAAGACGCTAGCATGCTCCCAGTTCCCAGCGATCTTCAGCCTCTTGAGATTGTAGAACTGCTTGCTATCGACCACACACGATCCATAGCACGAGAGCTCGAGCTCACGCAAGCTTTCGGGGTGTGAGATCCCAACAGACATTCCGTCCGCCAAGCCGCCAACTTTCAAGACACCAAGCTTCGGAGCGTCAAGACCAATCCTATACTTTCTCGTTCTCGCTCCAACCTCGTCGCCCTCGAAATCCCCCGAGAACTGGAAACTCTCGAGGCTGGCGCTCTTGAGCGTGAGATCGTTCGAGGTGTCCACAAAGCCCGTGACGCTGAGATACTCCAGCGTCGGGCATGCCGCGAGGAGCGCCTCCAGGATCTGGGGAGACACACTTGCAGATCTGCAAAACTGGCAGCTTCGCAGGCTTGAAAATGGCGACTGATCGAAGAGGCTTTTAGAACTGTAAAAGTCTCCAGCCATCCGGAAGCTCTCGAGCTTGCGGAAGCACGAGAACAAGCTCCACACGGCCGGTCCCAATTCAAGACAGCCCCACACCTCGAGGTCTAGAACCGTAAGAGAGTCGGGCCACAAGAGCCAGTGGCCTGTAGCTTCGGATGGGTTGAGGCAGGAGAGCGAGACCTTGAGCTCCTTGAGGCAGCCAGGAGCTATCTTCTTGGTGCGCTGGAGCACGCTGGTGATGGCGTCTTCTTTCTTCCTCAACGCCGTCTTGTCCCTCGCGGTGAAATCGAAGTGGAGGCGGGTGACTGCCCAACGCAGCTCTCGCCATCGCTTGCATACCAGCGAGAACTGGGCGATCTGCCGCGCATCGCCCACCTTGGAGAAGATTTCCACCAGCGAGCTATCGTCCAGCTCCACGCTCTTTCTCATGGCACAAAACCCTAAAATTTAGAGAATTATAAGTGTAAAAGGAGAATTAATCTACGACGTACTCAAATGATTTTTCACGTTGGCTCCATGGATTGGCAGAGGCCGAGAATCAGCTCGTAGAACATAAGTTTTGTCCCCGCCTCCAATCAGCTCGCTGACTCTCAGTGCCGTGTGGAGGCCTGCATACGATCTTAGGACTCAGTCAAGTTTGCTGATCTCACAAGGCTGTTGCTTGCCTCATCTGTCAGCTCCACTCTCTTCTAGTGTTGCATCCCTGGGTCTTTGTTCTTCTTGAAGGTAGGAAGCCACTCTTTGCAGCTGTTTCGAGTGCTATTTACATGCATTATTATTATTATTACTCTATCATACAATCGTGAAGCCCATATTCCACATCCATTAAGGAATTCCCACCTCCTCCATAGCCTTTTCTCCGCCCTAAAACTTGGCTACTAAATAGACAAAGGGCAAAGAGTTTTTAAGTCCAACGTTCCAGCCTCTTTTGCTCTGGAAGAATGAATACAAGTACCTCTTTTTAATTATGATAGCACCACCTTGTATAGCTTGTTCGACTCATTTGTTCCTACTGGAATCTGTAACAGCATAGAAAAAAGATTCATGACATCGAAGAGACATTGACTGAGAGGAGAGCTTTCCCCAGTCAGCAAGGCTGATTATAATCATGCTGCTATCCTTGAGAGCCTTCAACAAACTCATTCACAGCCTGATGAGACAACGTTAAATCAGCGATTGTAGTTGATTAGCACTGTTCCATGGATCCTGTAGAAAAAGAAAACAATATCACAACTCCATAAACAACTAATGCTTAAAGAATTTACCATCTTAAAAGAACATCCGGATTTGAGAATTAGATTGATTATCACAATACATTGAATTATTATTATTATTAGGTTATGGCAATCACAAACTTTGCTAAGAGATCTATAGATCACTCGAAATTATTGCAAATGATTTTTAGATAATCATCTTTTTAGATCAATTTTTGTATACAACATTGGAGAAAATTTGATTTGGCCATATAATTAACTTTTTATTTGCTGCATGTAACATTTGATGATCATCATTCATGTTACCTTTAATTTTTGAAAAGATGAATTTTAAAGTGCAATAGCATGGAAATTGCATGGTTTAGCTAATCAATTTTATTTTATAAGGAAAACAATTAACTTAAGATTCCACTCCTTTAACACTTACAAAATACCTGGATATTTTAGGTACAAACCAAAAATAAACTTAGAAATAAGTAATTTATAATTTACAAGTGTAAATGTGAGTTATAAAAGCCAAACTTTTTGCTTGGGTTAATCTTCTCGTGCTCCATCTCTAGTATTATATAAATGACTGTCTAATGTGAACACATTGTAGAACAAAATCTCTTATACAATAGAGTTCTAGTAATCTATCAAAATCCTACATTGACATCTCACCTGCAAAACAATCTTGACCAAGCCCTACGTTTCTTCTTCTGATGAATTCTATAACAACGTGATAGATTTGGAGCAGTCCAAGGCAAGATGACAATGTTTTTGAGATCAAGGATTAGTCCGGTGGTTTCTCGAGCTTGTGAGTTCAATTCAGACAAAGATTCCTTCCTTGCTTTTGAGATCATAATAGATTCCAATCCAAAAGGTACACTTGTATGGAGGAGGAGCTATGGAGCCGAATTGGCACCGCTGCTCAAGCCACCGGTAGAAGTCAAGCACACACAGCTCCTCATCGATGGAAAACTCGTGGATTCGGCCTCGGGTAGCGAAATAGTTCTTCCTGGATCATTCTAAATTCCTGTCTTCCAGGCAAAACATTCCCAACGATTGATCCACGCTCGGAGGAAATCATCGCCCAAGTAGCCGAGGGAGACGAGGAAGACGTGAACAGAGCCGTCAAGGCGGCTCGCAATGCGTTTGAGAAAGGGCCATGGCCAAGAATGACCGCTTACGTACGTAGCAATTCAAAAAATAGGGATTGATTGTCTCTCATTTGGGCTCGCAGGAGCGCTCCAAGATCCTCTTCCGCTATGCCGATCTCTTGGAGCAGCACAGCGACGAGCTGGTGGCGCTCGATGTTCTCGACAACGGCAAGACGATCGATCAAGCGACCTTTGCCGAGATGCCGAATGTGATCCGGTGGTTTCGATACTACGCAGGTGAATGAAGATTTTGGCAGAGAAGATCTCCAATCGTTCCTTTTTCTAGGATGGGCCGATAAGATTCATGGCATGACTCTTCAAGCCGATAGCCCTCACCACGTCCATACATTACACGAACCAATTGGAGTCGTTGGTCAGATCGTTCCATGGAATTTTCCTATTATTATGTTCTCGTGGAAGGTAAGCAACGTTTTTCTTTGATCGTTCTCTAGTTCGTCTAGCGATCATCGTTTTTCTTTTTTTACGTGAAAGGTTGCTCCAGCACTGGCTTGTGGGAACACTGTGGTTTTAAAATCAGCCGAGCTTACGCCGCTTTCAGCAATCTTGGCCGGGACACTCGCTCTCGAGGCTGGAGTTCCACCGGGTGTTTTGAATATTATTTCTGGATTTGGACATACTGCTGGAGCTGCGATTGCGAGTCATATGGATATTGACAAGGTGAACGAATTTTTTAGTGTTTGCGAAGCTTCAATTACGACTGATGTTTCCATTCTTTTGATTTTTCTATCAAGGTCGCATTCACAGGCTCGACAGAAGTAGGAAGGTCGGTCATGGAAGCCGCGGCCAGAAGCAACTTAAAGCCAGTAACTCTAGAGCTTGGAGGAAAGTCGCCATTTATCGTTTGCGGTGATGCTGATATCGACAAAGCTTTGGAGCTGTCACACCTCGCCTTGTTCTTCAACCAAGTAAGTTTTTCTCTTTTTCTTCTTTCATACTACCAAAAAAAACACAAGCTGACATAATCGAGGACGAGCAGGGCCAAACTTGCTGTGCGGGATCCCGGACTTTTGTGCACGAGAGTGTCTATGACGAATTCGTGGAGAAGGCAAAGAAGAAAGCAGAAAATCGTGTTCTGGGAGATCCTTTTCAAAGCGGTGTAGAGCATGGCCCTCAGGTACACCTATCTATTTTTCCTCCTCTTGCGAAGCATGACGAATGCGTGACCGAGTATATGCAGGTTGATATTTCTCAATTCAACAAAGTCATGAAGTACATTGGTTATGGGAAGGAACAGGGAGCCACTTTACTCACAGGAGGAGAAAGACATGGAGACAAAGGATTTTATATTCAACCGACAGTCTTCGCGGACGTTGGAGTATGAACTTTATCTCCGAGATCACAGCATCGCACTGACTTTGATTCTCTCCGTGAATGGCAGGACAGCATGGCGATTTCTAGAGACGAGATCTTCGGCCCCGTCCAGTGCATATCGAAATTCAAGTAAGTTCCTTCCTAGCTTTCGGAACATTGGGCTCGTGTTAAACTATAGAGATCTCATTCAGGACGCTGGAAGAAGTTGTTGAAAGAGCAAACAACACTCAGTATGGTTTGGCCGCGGGAGTTTTCACGCAGAGCTTGGACACTGCAAACTTCTTGAGCCGAGCTTTGAAAGTGGGAACAGTTTGGGTAAACACGTACTACGCCTTCGATGCAGCCATCCCCTTCGGTGGCTACAAGATGAGCGGATTTGGACGAGAGAAAGGCGAGTACGTTCTCAAGAACTACTTGCAAGTGAAGGCAGTGGTCACTCCATTGAAAAATCCGGCATGGCTGTGAGTCTCTCATCTGGTAAGAACACCAAAAACAATGCAAGTATTTGTTCTTCACAACCACTGTTCTTCGCAGACTTCTTCCAGTCCAAGAAAGCTCGCAAATCTCTCCAAACATTAGATATAGCAAAAGATGCGAAAAGAATAAAGAATATGCCTTTTGTGCCGTTTACCTCTTTTAGGGCTAGAGCGGTAGAACAGAGCAGTGGCGCCGGCGCCTACAGCGCGGGATTCAACGCTCGCCAAGGCCTGCATTTGGATCTTTCTTGCTGCGCTTGATTCTCCCGATCGCAGGATAGAAGTAGCCGCTGCTGGCCGCCTAGATCGAGCAGCAGGGCAGACGAATGGAATCTTTTGCCCGGTCCAAGAAGCCCCGTGCAAGCATCAGCGCGCCTCCAGGCGGCGAGGGAGGCCAATCCGTGGCTCAGAAGCCCGATTCTCGCGAGGTCGGGGCATTCCAGGTTCTTGCTTTCGATTTTTTTCCCTCTCCAAGGCCAGGGTCGGAGGATTTCGATCTTGCTGCGGGGAAACCCGCGGAGAAAGATCCGGCCCCGTCGAGATTCTGGCGGTCGCTTGTGCGTATCGTCGGCAAGAACAGGCTGGGGATGAAGACGAAGAGCTCGAGCTTGAGCCACGAAATTCTCGCGGAAAATCTCGAGCCGTGGAGTTATCCACTGGTGGATTTAAGCGAGAAAAAGATCAGTGGAAAGAAGTGGACATCGACTATCAAGGCTCTTCTCTTTGGCAGATCGAAGAAGACGAAGGAGAGCCCGTTTGATTCGTCGCTCAACACGAGCAAGGAATCGATAAGTCCCTCCGCCGTGTGCCCGGGACGCAGCTCGGGCGAGAGCTCCTCCACATCTTACATCACTGCCGATGGATTCTCTTCTCCAAACTCCGACAAGCCCAGGAGTTCTTCCCAGCAGAGCTCATCAACTTCGACGCCAAACTTGATGGCTTGCAAAGAAACCTGCCGAGTTTCCAGAGAGACGAGCTTGATCGTCGCCAGGAGCATCTCGAGGTTGTCCTGCCGGCACGATCGCGACGATCTTCTGGATACGATCGAGAGCGTCCCGCTGCTAGAGACCCCCAGATCATCAGCAATGTCTTCGCCAGCATCTAGCACTACTTCCAGCAAAAGAAGCTCGAGGATCTCTCCCCGGATCTCCCCCAGCCGGTGCCACGAGAAGCCGATGAGGCGTTCGTCCGCTGTGCTAGAACGAAGAATGCCGTCGTCCCCCAGCGCCATGAAGCTACGAGCGGCGGCAGCAAACGAGAAGAAGAATTCGCCGGCCCCTCTGGGCAATGTTGCGATCGTGAAGCAGTCGGAGGATCCATTCCGGGATTTCCAGGACTCGATGATCGAGATGATCAAGGCCAAGAACATCAAAGGCGACCGCGAGCTCGTCAATCTCTTGAACTGCTACCTCTCCCTCAACGCTCCAAAGCTCCATCCCACCATCATCGACGCTTTTGCAAAGGTCTGCCCACATTGATCTCAGAGTAAAATCTCCTAGAATCTTTTTGCTTTGATGTATCAACGAAATTGATTTGTAAAAGACTTAACTTATATGTAATAAAACAAATTTAAACTGGGGTAGTTAAAACGATTTTAGAAAATTCTGGAAGTTTCACTTAGGGGGTAAAAGTTTTCTAACATAAAGAATATTCTCGTTTAAGAGGGAGGCGTGGTTTCCAGAGTTTAGGGTTTTAGTAAGGTTAGCGTGTAGATGGATGGGAGCGGCAATTCTCTGGCCGGCAGCGTCGGGGGCGATGGATCCAAGCGGCGCGTCTCCTACTTTTACGATCCGGAGGTGGGCAATTACTACTACGGGCAGGGCCACCCGATGAAGCCTCACCGGATGCGAATGACGCACAGCCTTTTGGTGCACTACGGCCTCCACCTCAAGATGGAGGTCGTGGAGCCATTCCGCGCGCGCGACAAGGATCTCTGCAAGTTCCACGCCGACGATTACGTGGATTTCCTCAAGCAAGTCACGCCCGAGACGCAGCAGGAGTTCGCCAAAGTCTTGAAGCGATTCAACGTCGGCGAGGACTGCCCGGTGTTCGATGGGTTGTATAGCTTCTGCCAGATGTATACCGGGGGGTCGGTCGGAGGGGCCGTGCGCCTGAACACGAATCGATCCGACATCGCCATCAACTGGTCCGGCGGACTGCATCACGCGAAAAAGTGTGAGGCGTCCGGGTTTTGCTACGTGAATGACATTGTTCTTGCGATCCTGGAGCTCCTCAAGCAACACCAGGTACGCAAAGCTTTAAGTTTCCTTTTTGTTCTTTCTTTGGATGCTGGCCAGTTTTTGCATTTTTTTCTTGAAGACTTCTTGTCTTCCTTGTCGAATGTAGACTTCGTCAATGGTTTGTCTTTTCTCCGTTCCTTGTGTAGCGGTTCATCATGCTTTTGCCCTCTTGTTCTAAACTTCGTTTGTTAATGGTCTCTATTTGTTGCGCTCTATCACTGTGACTGGTCTTTCTGGCTTCTCTTGGATCTAAAGCTTAAACGTTTCCGCTTCGCAGCGCGTGCTCTACATCGACATCGATGTTCACCACGGCGACGGTGTCGAGGAGGCCTTCTACACCACCGACAGAGTCATGACGGTATCTTTCCACAAGTTTGGCGACTTCTTCCCGGGGACTGGCGATCTCCGGGATGTCGGCCACGGGAAAGGGAAGTATTACTCCGTCAACGTACCGCTTAACGAGGGGATCGACGACGAGAGCTACCAGCGGCTGTTCAAGCCGGTGATAAGCAAAGTCATGGAGGTTTACCAGCCGGGGGCGATTGTCTTGCAGTGTGGTGCCGACTCTCTCTCGGGAGATCGTCTCGGCTGCTTCAACCTCTCGGTAAAGGGTCACGCCGAGTGCGTGAGATTCGTGCGTTCTTTTAATGTACCTCTGCTCTTGGTTGGAGGGGGAGGATACACGGTAAGAAACGTTGCAAGGTGTTGGTGCTACGAGGTAAGAACTCCTTTCCTCTCGTTTTGGTGGTTTCTTAATTCTTTTTTTCTTATCAGACGGGTGTTGCTGTTGGAGTCGAGCTCGAGAACCAGATGCCTTACAACGATTACTACGAGTACTTTGGTCCGGAGTATACGTTGCTCGTGCCGGCCAGCAACAAGGAGAATGCTAATTCTCCGGAGTATTTGGACAGTCTCAGGTATTTCCCTTTTGTAACTGGAAAGACTTTGTTTGCTCACTTTGTATGATGTCTTACAGGCAACAACTTCTTGAGAACATTTCGAAGCTCCAACATGCTCCTAGTGTTCCGTTCTACGAAAGGCCACCGGATATGGAGCCTGGCGAGGAAATGGTCTTGATGTCTTTTGAAATTCCAGAACTGTTATTAACATTGTGTAGCTTTCAGGAGGAGAATGACGCTGATGCACGGCCAACAAAGCCTAAGCCAGGAGTGTGGAATGGGGAACCAGTTGATTCAGACTCCGAAGGCGAGGGAGACGTACACAGGCAGAGGCTCCCGAAACAAGAACTCGATTTCATCAGCAGGTTTGTATCGAAAAATCCTTCAAGCTTTCAGTCCCCTGAAAAAATGCCATTGATTGACTAAATAGGAAGCTGCCACCATCTGAAGAACCGGTTGTCAAGAGACCAAAGTTTGATGAAGTAAGTGAGCTCGCACTTCCTGACGTCTCATGGGTTAATTAACTTTTCAGAGGACTGAAGAGCAGAGAGATGATGATATCGCAACTTCACTCTCTTTAGGCCCAGCAATGGCAGCAGAGATTAAGATTAGCTCGTGAGCATGTAAATATGACAACTGGTCCAGATGAAGTTTTGAGCAACAGAGTTTTTTGGTTCTTGTTGCTAAGCGAAACCATGTTTTGGAGCTCTTCCACAATATGACTTTCATGGTATTTTCTGCAAACAAAATTAGAATTGGAGAATTGGATAATAATAAAAATTGGAATTATTTTTGGAACAAAAAAGTTTCAGTTGAAATGTGTTACAAAAAATTTTAGCTACAAAGAGTTTATTTTTAAAATTATAAATGATTAAAGTATATTCTAAAACACTTATTTTAATTAGGAATGAAGTAAAATATAAAATATAATAAATCTAACATTGTAAATAACATTTCAAACAATTTTTTAATTTATCAATGCACACAATGAATCAATTTATCATATTACAGAATGTTCATTAGCTGTTATAAAAAGATTTCGTATTTTTATCTTTATCTTTGATAAAAATTAAATCTAAATTAAAAATAGAAAATATACATATATAGTGCTTAATGCTTATTTATTTTACTATTCTTCACATGTTTTTCTCTTTTAAATGCCATTTCACTTTATATTGTCTAATTTGTAAAACTTCTTTTAATTATTTAACATATATGCATTTTTATAACTATAGTTGTGCAATATATACTTGTTATTACTTTTATTTAGCTTATTGGTTATAACTTACTCATCTAATTAGCACACAGTCATAGTTCTAACATAAATGTCAAGAATAGCTTATTGGTTATAACTTACTCATCTAACTAGCACATAGTCATAGTTCTAACATAAATGTCAAGAAAATGTAATGTAAAAAAAACTCTTAGTGAGAATTAAATTCTCTTGCATTAGGGTACCAAGGAAAATTTGAAACATACAAAAAGATATGATTTTTTTTTTACTTTTTGCACAATTACTATTTTTGTAGTTTAGAGATAACTTTAATGGTAGAAAATGACATCTAAAAATATAATGTTAATTAGAGAAATTATAAAGATGTTATAAAAAGTTATCCACTATAGAAATATCATCACCCTAAGTATGCTTTATCTTAACTGCTATGTTACTAGTATTGCTAGTAACAACTTTAAATATTAAAACTAAATATTAACTAATTAGAATTTTAAATAAGAAAAGAGAAGTTTAAAATTATGATTTCAATTTTAAGTCATAAACAATGACTTGATTTTGAGTTAAAACTTTCAATTTAAAATTTAATTGAATTAATGTTCTAGTGTTTATATGAATATTGTCAATATAATTATCAAACTTATCAAACTTTTGTAAGCAACCAAAGAGAATGATTTGAGAGACAATTCATAAGGTTCAAATATAGAGGGAAAGGGCCCATGAATAAGAATGCACCCCCTTTTCCAATTAGTTAAGAGTCTTAGGATATTTAGGGTTAAGCATCTTTGAGTTTGAATAGTATTAGGTTGGGTGACCTCTTGGGAAGTCCAAACTCAAGACCTTTCAAGAAGTCCAAACTCAAGAGCTTACAACTTTGTAAATTTTAGAATGAGATAAAATGGTAGTATATAACATTTAAAAAATATAACAACTATTGCTACTTGATTTAAAATTCATCTATTTTGTTACTTGATTTAATGGAATTATTTTTAAGATTCAAGATTTAATAGAAGTTATAAAAAAAGCATACCACAAAAAGGAAATTGATAATGTAGGTCTAGTAAATCAGCCTGAAAACTGAAAACTTTACTGGCAGTTTTTTGAAAGATATAATGCAACACATTATTAAAATTAACCATAAGGATTGGAGCCCATCTAGCTAGAGCAACTTGCCAACAAACTCACTACAAACAACTACCCAAGCTGGTTCCCAACCAAAGAAAAACTTTGGAGAGTAAGGCCTAATTTGTTTTAGCTTAAGTTTGTTGACAACAAAACGAAGTAAAAATGACACACAAAGTGTAACAAGGCCAAAGAGCTGGAGATACCAAGGGTAACAAGTTGTAGATTGTCTTACATAAGGCATGCATTTCGCTGTTTCTTCCAGTCTAACCACGCATCACGAAGAGAGCTTACATTTGGCTCGGGGAGATAACAATACGAGTCCATTGCTTCGCACCACTTGTTCCAAGGATCCCTCTCACTCCTCATGGCCTTGACAATCTCCAGGAAAACGTGGTCTTTCCAAAAGGCCTCCCTTCTTTGGCATCCGAGGCTACTCAAGTTGATGGCATGAGATGTACTGTGTTGGGAACAAAACTTACTGGAGGCGAGTGTCAGGCCTTCACAAGGTGCTATTGGCAGGACAATCCGTGAATGCCTGCAGAGAGACATTTGGATTATGTCCGGAGGTAGCAACTTTCGGGTCACAGCAACAGCCGTTCCGATCATTTTTCGTATCTGCAAGAGTTTCCAGATGTCTAAACAAAAACAAAATCGAAAATAGGAAAGAAGGTGCGTACCTGGTGAACCATGAAAGAAGCGCCCGTAACACTGACTCTGAGAGCAAGCGTGTCTCCGAACTTTTCTATATCACCACAAGAGCACCTGATGATCTTTCTGTAATGTTGTGCCGTGATCCTGTCTGTCGGATCCAGTTCCTGCAGCCAGTATGCAGGACTAGGCTTCTGTTGGACCCGAAGCCGTGGCTCGTCGGCATCTCCATCCTCGTCTTCTTCTTCAGAAGAAGAAGAAGAATTATCCGCCGCTATGGGAGTTCTCGTACGCCAGTTGAGATCTTGTTGTTTTGGTTTTCCATAGTTGCGCCGTATAGTGTAGTTGTGAAACGGGTGCTCGCCCTGTAACAGGAGAAGTTCGCGTTCACAGAGAAAGAATGCGTCAATTTTAAGCAACGCACCTCAAACAGCTTTAGCTGGAGCCTGAACTGTTCCAGGAGTTGTTTAATCTCACAAGTGGATACCCTTTGATTGATTCCCACGCACAGCGCCGGAAGGAAGTAGTCGTAAGACCTTTCAGAGCATGCCATCCTGGGACGAAAAGTTCTGCAAACAAGTCGCAAGCTACACTCTTAAACAAAAGTAAACAAACAAAGAACCCAAAACTAACTTGCTTACTAACTTGCTTACTGGGACGACTCCAAAAACGCGTATACATTGTGGAAGATGGCGATTTATCATGTCTGCGATCTCGATTCCACCAGGGTCGTCTCTCCAAGCATCTATAGGCAGCTCCATTTTCAGGGATATCACTGTAGCTAGTGAATGCACCTAAAGAAAAACGATAGGAAACACGCACGAAAAGCAAAGCTCAAAAGAGAGTTACGTACCCCCTTGTCAGTTCTACTGCTTCTCGCCCAACCGACCTTCATATGGTGGCCGTAGTTGCTGTCGAGAATCCCTCCAGCCTTGTAAATAGCTTTGTCTAGATCGGCCTCTATGGCTGTCAAGGAACTATTGAGAGCACTAAGCTCCAAGAACAAGGAACAGTGACTTGAGAACTTACTTGGATGATCTCCATGAAGTTGCAAGCCTTGAGAGGAAGACCAATACAAACAAAGGCTCAAACATTGGAAGAACGTCAAAAGAAAAACTTGCCTTTGTAGCCTGTTCCAACGTATCCAATCCACATTGCGACCTTCTTCTTCCTCGTAGCGCCACAATCCGGATTACTGAGCGCGGCCAATGCGGCGCTGCTGAAGCGCCTGCCAAAAATTCCAGCTCTCCCCATCGCTCCTGGAGATCGGGAGAGAAATGTAGGCCAGGCGATGACGATTGAGAGATTCTAGCTTACCGGCAAGCGCCAATCCGGGAGGAACCGCGCTTTCCATCGACTCGATCGAGAGAGAGAGAGAGAGAGAGTGGAATAGGGCTTTAGCCCCGATGAGAAGAATATACTCTGCGCGGAAAAAAGTCACTGTTCCTAAAATTTACCGCGTTGAGAACTCCGTTGGGGTCTCCTTACGCCTACGGCATTGCACAGAGGGCGCATTGGCGCTCCGCGTTCCAGCGAATCTAGGGAAGGTCTTGCCGTTTCTGGGTAGAGCTTGAATCGGCGATTTCTTGCATCTTTCTAGCGGGATTTCGCTTTTCTTGGAGCCTGTTCTTGCTCTGGCTTGGCGGAATCTCTGGTTTTCTTGGTGGATTTCGAGCTCCGGGCGGTCTTGGGGGGGTGGATCGATCGATCGATCGCTGCGCGTTAGAGCGTAATATCGATCCACAACGCGGGTAGCAGCAAGCGTGACGGGAGTAGCTAGCTGACTTTTTCCAAAGTGATCGAAGCATTTACGCTGTCCGCGGTGCTTTCGTCGCCGAGACCCTAGGGCGGGATTCATGCGAGCTCTTCCGGCATGGCAGCTCGGTCTCTTCTCCAGGCTGCTTATGGGCCCGCGGCGGCGGTGATGAGGGATTGGGATTGTTACAGATGGATCACTATCTTCGGAGGATTCGTGGCCTTCGCCTTGGCTTGTGCTGCCGGCGCCAACGACGTGGCGGCATCGGTAAGAGTGCTCTTCCCCCCCTCTTTTTTTTTACACAATCGATTCTAGCTTAGTTTTCTCTCTACAGTTTGGCACGTCGATCGGCTCTGGAGCATTGTCCATGACCCAAGCAACGGTAATGGCTTCGCTGATGGAGTTCATTGGCGCCACGGTCATGGGCGATCGGAACCTCGATTCGATGCAATTTAATCTGGTGAGTCGGCTCTTCTACGCTCTCGAGTCGCTATAACTTTGGTTTTCTTCTTCTTCTTTCACTCTACCAGATACTAAGAGAGAGGCCACCTGATGCCGGGCTTTTTATGTGGGGACTCTTCATTGCCATAATAGCTGCAAGTAAACTATCGCATCTTCGTTTGGTTCAACTACTAACGAACGTGTTTGCAGCTGTGTGCCTGGCATTTGCAACGTACTTAGAGCTACCAGTTTCTTCCACTCTGGCCGTGATTGGCGGCATCATTGGGATGGCTTTGACAGCGCGAGGACTACAGGCGATCTACTGGAACGGAAGACCTGTAAGTACCTAGTTGTGAGTTTTCTAGCTACGGATAATGAAATCGTTGTCCTTCAGGACGGGTATAAGCTCGCAGGGAATATCGGGGGAGTGCTTGAGATTATCTTGTCGTGGTTTCTAGCGCCTCTAATCGCTGCGGTCGCGTCCTTCCTCTTTTTCGGGTTTACAAAGATGATCTTTTTGAGGTCGGAGCACGCGGGAAAGCGGATACTCCAGTTCATGCCGGTGTATTATGGCTTGACAGTTATGGTGCTGATATTCTTTGTCATATACAAGGTTAGTCGCGGTCATTTTCGTTCTTAATTTTCTAACTTCAAAGCACGGCCACGGCAGGGAGCCTCTAGATCCAGTCTTCATGACTGGCCTGCGGGGAGGGCAGCTCTTATTGCAGGGCTATCTGGCATTTTGGCTACTTTATTGGCATTTGTAAGTCGATTTCTTTCTTTTGTATTGATGTTTAGTAACTTACAAGTTATTCTACCTGCAGGTGATTGTTGTGCCATTAGTCCATAAACAATTACGCGCTACTAATAAGGATAGCGCTGTATCTGAGGAGCCTACGCAACCGATTGCCATCGCCGTTGCACCGGAAAAGGAAGCTCCGCCTGGGCCTCAAGATCATTCAACACAACAACAAGAGCAAGATATGAGTCCGGAGGAGATGATAAAGCAATTCAACCAGCTTAGAGTACTGGACACCGTCTATGAAGGAGAAGACGAGGGTAACGCAAGCCCGGACGTCTCTGTGAGGTGTAGTCCTATGTGTGGACCAGGCAAGCTCTCCTTTGGACAACTACTAGCACGAACACCTAACAGGCACAGGACGTTCAAGCGCATCAGACGTCCGAAAAAACTGACTGCCCGGCAGAAGGTGCTGAAGTTCCTTCACAGAATCAAATCTGCCACCATCAGCCACGTAAGAAGTTTACATATTTCGCATGTTCTCCTTCTTACTAGCCTTTCTGTTCCGCAGAAAATAGACTACGATCGCGACGTAATTGTTCGCCACGCACTCGCTGAGAAGTTCGACGACAAAGTCGAAGAGCTATTCAGCTTTCTGCAAGTCCTTACAGCATGCGTTGCCTCGTAAGTTTGATAAAAAATTTTGAGTTTCAGATACAGTTGTGTGTGTCAGGTTTGCGCATGGATCCAACGATGTTGCAGCCATCATGGGCCCGTATGCTGCTGTGGTCCAGATATTTAATCACCGGCCTGATGTTCCAAACCGGGATATCGATGTAAGTTTGACCCGGCAGCGTAGAAACAAAGCACTGATCGTTTGCTGTGTACTTCAGGTCTGGATCCTAGCAATGGCTGGGATAGGCGTGTCACTTGGATTTGCACTGTTTGGATGGAAACTTTCGCGGTGCCTTGGTGGCCGCCTGACGTTTATGACGCCGTCCCGGGGTTACAGCGCACAATTCTGTGCCTTGGCGACGATTCTCTTCGCGTCAAGGACAGAGCTTCCCGTCTCGACGACACACGTTGTGGTGGGCGCTATTGTTGGCGTTGGAGCCGCAGATAACATCAAGGTAAGTGAAATGGTCGTCTCTCATTCTTTAATTTTCCTCTTGTGCTCAAGAAAATCTCTTTTTTGCTGTAGAATGTCAACTGGAAGCTGGCCATGGCTTTTGTGATGGCCTGGATCGCAACGCTTGTGAGTGCTTGTGGGATTGCCGCTGCCTTGTACTCGTTTACGGTGTTCTCTCCAGCTTACACTGTGGCCTAAGGCAAGAGTTTTTTTTTTTTTTTCGTTCTCTAGAGGGAAACGAGGTTCTGCTTACTACTGGAACCCGTTGTTTGTACAGTGTTTTCAAGCCAAATAATTGTGTGGCTGTTTTTGCGAGAAAATTATTTGGAAAGTTTTAATGGAACGCACTTGAGAGGTACTGTGACAAAAATTCGAGCTCAGACATTTGCGATTCTATAGATTGGCAAATCTTAGCTAAGATTTGCCAACTTTGGTGACAGCACTTGACAAAAGCAAATAAGAACTGGGGTTCTTGGCATCAATCCTGGCCAGCTTCTCCGCGGCCCAGCGAGCAAGCCCAGCATTTTCATGAACCTTAGAACACCCCAGCAAAGTCTTCCACGCCACAGCATCCGGCACAAACGGCATCACACCCACAAGCTCTCCCGCCTCCGCCACCTTTCCGGACCTCCCCAACACGTCCACCATGCAGATATAGTGATCCAAGCTCGCCGCGATCCCGTAGTCGCCAGCCATGGCCACGAAGTGGTACCGCGCGTCCTTGGCCAGGCCCGCGTGACTGCACGCCGCCAAGACGCTGATAAACGTGACGTCCGTTGGCAGGATACCGTCGAGAGCCATGGCACCAAAAAGCTCCAGCGATTCTTTGCTGTGGCCGCTCTGCGCGTAGGCCGCGATCATCGCCGAGAAGAGCACCAGATCTCCGCGCTGGGACGCTGCGACCTTGTCGAAGATGGCCCGAGCTTCCGCAAGCTTGCCACACTTTCCATACATGTTGACGAGCGAGGTTCTCACGGCCGGATGGTTTAGCAGCTGGTTCTCGCCAGAGCGTTCCAGGGCCGTGTGGATTCTTCGTCCGGTGGCGAGCTGGGATGGAGTGGTGCAAGCCTCGAAGACGCAGACCAGCGTGATCTCGTTCGCTCGGCCGCCTTCCAGGTCCATGAGGAGGAAGAGCATCACTCCGGATGAATTCTCTCCGCAGCGGACGTAGGCCGAGATCATCGCGTTCCAGGGGGCAACGAGCGAGAGCTTGTCCGGCATCGCGTCGAAAGTAGCCCGGGCTTGATCCAGGAGATTGTTCTGAGCGTAGGCTGCCACCATCGTCGTCCACAGCACGCCATCTCTGTGCTCCATCCTCTCGAACAGGCTCCTGGCGAGCTCCATTCGTCCACACCTCCCGTGCATGCAAACGAGCGCATTCCCGACCGTCACGTCTTGCCAGAGGCCACTCGAAGTCACTGCTGCGTCGATCTCCTCCCCGGCTGCCGAGTTCTTGAGGTTCCCGCAAACGTCGAGCATCGTCACGAATGTGACTTTGTCCGGCGGCTCGCGAGCTTCCAAGTCCATGATCGCGAAGAGCGTTAGAGCTTCTTGGAGGTGTCCGCTGTGAGCGTAGCCTGCTAAGAGGGTGTTCCAGGAAGCCGTGTTCCTGAGCTCCATTCGATCGAACAAGCCCCTGGCTTCCGCGATTTCACCAGCTTGGATGTAAGCAGCGATCATTGTGTTCCAGGAAATGATACTCTTCCGTTTCGTGCTCTCGAAGAGCTCCCTGGCTTGTGGCAAGTGTTTGTTCTGAGCGTACGCTGTGATCATCGCGTTGGTAGCCACCACGTCTCGGCTAGGAAGCGCATGGAACACCGCCAAGGCATCGTCCAGGCTTCCACACTTCCCATACATGTTAAGAACCGTGGTGGCAACCATGATATCCGACTGGAAGCCACTCTCGATCACCAAGCAGTGAACTATCCTGGCCTGAGAAAGCACTCCAGCGTTAGCGCAAGCGTTGAGCACTGCGAGGAAGCTGACCTTGTTGGGCTGGAATCCACTCAAGTCCATCGTCTTAAACATGTAGAGAGCTTCCGCGGGATGCCCGTTCTGGGCATACGTGACGATGATGGTGTTCCAAGAGATGACTGTCCTCTCGATCATCTCATCGAAGAGCATTCTCGCTTCCAACACACGCCCGACGAGAGAGTAAGCCGTGATCATCGCGTTCCAGGAGGAGGAGCTCTTCAGTGGCATTCGATGAAACACCTCAGCCGCTTCTTGGAGATGCCCGTTCTGGGCATACGCCGCCAGCATCACGTTCCAGGAGAACACGTCCCTTCTCTTGAGATTGTTGAAAACTTCCAGGGCCTCTTGCAATCTCCCGCAGCTGCCATACATTCTCACGAGCAGGTTCCCCAGGAATGGATCCTCACCATGCCCGGATCTCGCTACAAGCTCGTGAATTTTCCGGCCTTCTGCAAGAGCTTTAGCACTGCCACACTGTCGTAGAAGATCTGCGTAAGTTGTAGTGTCCACCGGCCGACAACCCAGCTCCAACCTCTCCACGGCATCCTTGATCCCCACCCTGTCCATCTGCTAGAGAATAAAATCGCCCAAGCCGTCGGATAGCAACTCCCAGCTCCCATTTGAATGATACCCGTCGGATCATCCCGGCATTCTTTCGAGCTCAAGCTTCCTGGAGAACTCTGGCCTTAGCGTCCCACATCCCAACGCTGCCATAGATGTTGGCCATGAGCACTCGAGCAGCGGGCTGTTCCTCGTCCAGCTCTAGTAACGCATCGAAAGCAACCTTCGCCACCTCTATGTTCTTCCACTTCTGGCAAGCACTGAGCACGGTCGTCCACGAGACGATGTTTGCGACCACTGGCATCTCTTTTACCATCGCCACTGCTTCTTCAAGCCTGTTCGATCTGCCCAGGATATCGACCAAGCAGTGGTAGTGTTCCATCCCGGGATCCAGTCCATGGATAGATTTCATAGCCTCGAAGTAGCGCTTGCCTTGCTCGACGAGGCCGGAGTGGCTGCACGCCGTGAGAACGCACAGGAACGTAACTCCATCCGGACGAACTCGAGGACGTGAAGCCATCATCCTGTCGAAAGCTTGGAACAGTGCCTCTGTATCTCCCTGGCGGCTGTATCCTGTTAGAAGCGCGTTCCAGGCCACGATATCTTTCGTGACGATCGACGAGAAAACTTGCTCGGCATCCACCATGCTCCCACACTTGCCGTAGAAATCCACCAGCGAGGTAGCGATGACCACATCACTGTCGAGTCCTAGCTCTCGGATTTTCCCATGAAGTGTTCTTCCGATGTCTAGAGCTCCAACACAGCCGCAAGCTTTGAGTGACGCCAGGAACGTCCGGGAGTCGTGAGCACAGCCTTCCAGCTCCATGGGAACAAAGAGCTCGAGAGCTGCCTCACCTTGGTCGTTGTCCGCGTAGCCTGATATCAGCGAGTTCCACGATACCACATCGTGGCGTCGCATGCCATCGAAAACTCGCCGAGAATCCACCATGCTTCCACACTTCGCGTACATGTCGACTAGAGAGTTGGCAACGAACAAGTCCCACTGGAAGCCATAGCTCGAAGCTCGCAAGTGGACAGCAATTCCTTTCTCCAGAGCACACATCTTCGCCACTTTTCCTTCGAGTTCCCTGCCTTCTTCAGCTTCCGCTAGAACCGCACAGGCCTTGAGAGCAGCCACGAAGGTCCGAGAAGTTGGCTGGCAGCTCTTTTCCATGAGAGAGAAGAGCTCCAAAGCTGACTCTGCCTCCTTGTTTTCGGCGTACCCGAGCATCATCGCGTTCCAAGAGACGACGCTACGAGCGGGTAGTCTATCGAACAGCCTCCGAGCATCTGGCAAACTTCCACAGTTCGCATACAAGTCGAGCAGTGTGTTCCCGAGCACCACGTCCAAGTCGCAACTCTTGTTCGCGGCTTGCTGATGGATCCAAAATGCTGTCTCTAGTGACCTCATCTTCACCAGCTTCCCACCGATTCCCCTGCCTTCTTCTCTCGCTGCCTGATTCGTGCAAGCTTTGAGAGCAGCCACGAAAGTGAGCGAATTAACATAGCAGTCTTCAAGGCCAGAAAAAAGCTCCAGCGCTACCTGAGGATGATCACTCTCGGCATGTCCTAGGATCAGAGCAGTCCAGGAGACGACGTCCCGACGGCTTATCCGGTCGAAAACCCGTTGAGAATCGGGAAGGCTCCCACACTTTGCGTAGGCGTCCACGAGCGTGTTGGCAATGAAGTTGTCGGAGTCGTGCTTGGCTCTTGCAGCCCGGGAATGGATTGCCATAGTTTTCTCCAGTAGCACCATCTTTGCCCGAGGCTCAGTTTCTCTGGAAGCCAAGCTCGAGCAAGCCTTGAGTGTAGCGACGTAAGTGAGAGCGTTTGGAGCACAACCATATGCTTGCATAGCTTCGAACAGATCCAGAGCTACTGAGCCTTGTCCATTCTCAGCATAACCCAGGATGAGAGCCGTCCATGATATAACATCACGCTGCTGAGCTATCGCCTCAAAAACTCGACGAGCGTCAACCATGCTCCCACACTTTGCGTAAGTATCCACGAGAGTGTTGGCCACAAAGATGTTGCTCTCGTAACCAGCTGATTTTGCTTGACTGTGAACAGCGTTGGCGCTTTCCAAACTTCTCACTTTGACAATCCTCCCATTCAATTCCCTGCCATCTTCCTTGATAGCGAGAGCTGTGCAGGCTTTGGCGGCAGCGACAAAAGTTCTGTTGTCCGGAAAGTGCTTGTTCTCGGCTTTCATAGCCGATAAGAGCCGTAGAGCGGCCTCCCCATCCTTGCTTCCCACGTAGCCAAGCATCAAAACGTTCCAGGAGATTGTATCACGCTGCATCGTGTCGAAGACGTTTCTCGCATCTACCATGCTTCCACACTTCGAGTACATATCAATGAGAGTGTTGCAGACGAAGACATCCGTGTCGAATCCAAACTTTGACGCTTGTGAGTGTATTTCCCGGCCTCTCTCCAGCGACACCACCTTTACAATCTCACTGCCCCTCACCTTCGCTTCTTCTCTTGCTGCCAGGCTTGAGCAAGCCTTGAGACCCGCCACAAAAGTTCTGGCATTCGGCTCACAGCCACCTTTCATCAGCTGGAACAATCTGAGAGCTTCTTGGGCCTCCCCATTCTCTGCGTATCCCAGAACGAGTGACGTCAACGAAACCACATCTGGACGCTGCATCCTGTCGAAGATCTTGCGCGCATCTGCCATGCTGCCACACTTCCCATACATGTCCACCAGGCTGCTTGCGACGTAAACGTTGGAGTCGTCTCCATGCTCGAGAGCTGCCGAATGACACCTCCTTCCACTTTCCAGATTTCTTGAGCGACCACTTTCCTTGATAGCCGCAAGCAAGCAACGAATCCTCTGCTTCTTCTGTTCCTGCGGCTGCTCGCCTTTCCCATGGCCAGAGGCTCTGAATGGCTCTTGACGATGCAAGTTTGCGCTAAGTTTCAACATCACGTTGGCAGATCCAAAGAGTCCGTTCTTCTGTTTCAGCTCTCCTCCTGTTATCAAAACTATGAACAAAAGAAGCAAGGTGATGCTTACTTACATGATGCTTGCTAACAAGATCATGACTCCGTGGTAAAAATCTCTTGTCGAGAAAGCATAGTTGTGGTTTCTCGCTGGAAAAATTCACGAGTTTCCTGGAAACAAAAGAAAGAAACGTCACGATGCTTTCTCCACAAAGAGAAACCAAACAGGAAGCTAGCAAACAGACATAGAAAGAAGGAGATAGGTGGAGAAATTTTTTTTTAAGTGTTAAGAACTAGCTTACCTATCCAATTGATCCATGGCGGCCTCTTGCGGTAGCGCGGCGATGAAGCCCGTCCTGGTAGCGATGAAGGGGCATCCAGCCACAGGCAAGTCGACGCTCGGGGAATCCATGGCGAAATTCCTCCACTGGCCTCTGATCGACAAAGACGATGCCCGCGACTGCCTGTCGATGATGATCCAGGGCGAGGAGCAAGACGCGGCCAGGAAGAACAGGCTCGCCAAGCAGCTCAATGCCATCTCCTACGATATTATGTTCCGGATTGCCGAGACACAGCTGCGATTGGGGCTGGGAGTGATCGTCGTGTGCCCGCTCGCCTGGCCCTGGCTCTTCCACCAGTGCCAGTCCATCGCGCGGCGCAATGGCGTCGAGATGATCATCGTGGAATGCGTGTGCCGCGACGAGAATCTGTGGAAGACGAGGCTGGAGCACCGGGCAAAATCCGCGCTGCTGGAAGATCCACTACCTCCACAGATTTCGATCGCAACGGATTCCAGCCGCGAGGCGTGGGCCGATGGCGTCCAGAGCGTGTTCGATGCGAGCGCAAGCGTGTGGTGGCACAAGCCGAGGACGTGGGAGGAGCACCAGAAGAATGTGGCGAGGTACGAGGGGCAATGCGATTACGAGACTGGCGGCGTGAGGACGATCGTGGTGGACACCTCTGCTGGTCCTTGCCTGGATAGCATTCTCCAGTTCTTGGCCCAAAAGCCCTAGCATCGGTAAGAACCCTAAAGTTCAAATTCGGCGTTGCCGGGAGTCGAACTCTAGCGCGAAAACGAAATAATACTTGGAGATGAGGGGCATCGATCCCCTTACCTATCGCATGCGAAGCGATCGCTCTAAGCATGTTTGTAATTTATAAACACAAGATTAATCTTATTGCATATCAACCATTAGATGATAGAATAAAAAAGAATATACTAGAAAGGGTTTAGAAAACTTTATAAATTATAAACATGTTTATAAATTATAAATACCAAATTAATCTAAATGAATACCAACCATTAGATGGTAGAATATCCTAGAATATCCAAGCATATTTTAGATATATTCACTACCATCCCAGTCCCCTATAGGTTTAGTTAAGCAAAACAAAAACCAAAAGAAAAAAGGAAGGAATAACTCTACCACCATTGAAAGACGCTTCTTTTGGATGGTCATTTTGAGTAGCTACTGGACAGCTTATAAACTAAAATCCCATGTTCATGAGATCATCAAAGCAATCAAAATGTGAAATCTAGGACATTGCCAACCACTAAGAAAATACTTTTGGCATTCGCACGGATCGAGCCTGGGTATTTCACGTGACAGCGGGAGAGATTCACCACTGTACCGTGGAGATATTATACATCTAAACATGTGCTTAAGCATCTAAGCTCCAGTGGAACACCTCACATGGTGTGCTGTTGGGACAATAACGTTTCGTCCCCGTTTTAAGAAAAACTACGAGAATTGACAAGGTAGAATACTTGGCTTGGAGAATTTTAAGCCTGGAACTTCACATGGAACTCCAGTTGGAATGCCAGCACCACTCGCCACGAATCTTTAGTCGGAGAAATCTCGTCTTCACTACTTGTATTGAAAATGGATTCTTTGCGCCGGCTAGCAGAGAAATTGGTTCGCTGGGATTGAAAGCCTGTCACACAACACAAGATACTCTATGAGTAAACTTTAAGACTTTGAAAACACGAACCTCGAAAAACTGGTGCTACAAATCTCGGAAATCGATCCATGCCCCATGGAGCTTTTCGTTCCCTCGCAGGGAAGTTTTTCCACTGGCTAAGAAAAAGCATATAGAATCCTCTACAGTTTCCCGCAAGAAAAGTTCGATTCCTATGAATCGGTCAGCATCATTAAACAAGCAGGGAGTGAAAAAAGAAGGAGTCCATCGAGGCAAGTAGCAGCAAAGACGACAGTGACGATATAAAAATGACTGCGGTCTCGCAAAAGAAGGGCCGCACAAAGCAAGCATCAGGATGCAAAGTCGTCTTTGAGAGATACCTGGAGTGATTGGAAGCTATAGCTTAGATGGCAAGGAATGATAAGATTTCGTCGCACAAGCGTGGCTCGACATCATCATCCTCACTCTCTTCTTCCTCGGCCGCCGCCGCGGCAGCAGCAGCGGCAGCAGCTGCGGCTTCAACTGGAGCCACTGCAGTCACAGCAGCAAAACGCACTGTCGAATGGTAGCAATTGATCGGAGCTTACTTTGTCTCTCATTGTGTTCTTGCCTTCCAGGGTAATGACATCAGATGTCCCAACAGATATATCCGTGGAAGTTGCAGGTACGAGCTTTGCACTCCACAAGGTGGGTGAATTCATACATCATCTCCTTTACATTCCAGCACCATTAGCAATCACAGAACTCCCAAAGAACTATTGAAGTTTTCTCAAACTTGCCTGTTTAATGTGCTAACAGTTCCCACTTGTGTCACGGAGTGGAAGAATACGGAAGCTGGTTGTGGAGACAAGAGACTTAGATCCATCACAAATCAAGTTACTGGAAATACCAGGTGGTGCAGAAGTATTCGAGCTGGTAGCCAAGTTCTGCTATGGAATCAACTTCGAGATTACCACTGCAAATGTTGCGGTCTTGAGGTGTGCTGCTCACTACCTGGAAATGACTGACGATTACGGAGAAGGAAACTTGGTGGTCCGCACCGAGACATACCTTAACGAAGTCGTCATTCAGGATTTCTCCGTATCGCTCGCTGTATTGCACAACTGTGAGAACCTCGTCCCATTAGCAGAAGAGCTCAAAATTGTGAGCAGATGCGTTGATGCGGTAGCAGCTATAGCCACGGCCTCGCTACCTTCAAGAGAGCAACTATCTTCAAGCATGGAGTACAACGGCAGCTCGGGATGGATTGACAGCCAAGTTCAAAGCTGCAAAACAGATCACTGGTGGTCAGAAGATCTGGCAATTCTGAGAATCGACTTCTACCAGCGTACCTTAGCGGCAATGATGTCCAGAGGTTTGCTGCACGAAAGCATTGGAGGAGCGCTGATAATCTACGCTCAGAGATACCTCAAAGGCCTCAACATGAAGCCCGTGACTAGTCACAACAAAACGAAACTAGCGCCAGCAGCAACGGTTCACGACTCTGGTATTCCTTCAATTCTGGAGCAGGAACAACGAGCATTAGTGGAAACACTTACAAGCATGCTACCTTGCGAGAAGAACTCTATAAGCTGCAGCTTCCTCTTTGGCTTGCTTCGCTCGGCCATAATTCTAGACGCATCCATCAGCTGCCGCATCGAGCTGGAGCAAAGAATAGGAATGCAAATGGATCAGGCAGCGCTGGACGATCTACTCATACCATCCATGTCCTTCACTTGCGACACCTTGTTCGATGTGGACGTCGTCCAAAGACTGGTGATAAACTTCCTCCAGCACAAGGAGAAGGAAGACTCTCAAGCCGGCGGCTACGAATCTGAGAGTACCAGTCCCCCGTCACAAAGCGCAGCCATCAAAGTCGCAAAGCTCATAGACAATTACCTCGCGGAGATTGCTCCCGATACAAACCTCAAGCTCCTCAAGTTCTACGCTCTGGCCGAGCTCGTCCCGGACTACGCAAGAGTTGTCAACGATGGATTGTACCGAGCAATCGACATCTATCTCAAGGTGAGTAAAACAACTCAAAGTTTTTTTAACTTACGTGCTTTGTTCTTCAGTGTGTTCTAACAAGTAAAAAACAAAACGTTTTTCCTCGCTTGTCCGCTTGAACAGGCCCATTCCAACCTTTCGGAGGGAGAAAGAAAAAAAATCTGTAAGCTCATGGACGTCCAGAAGCTATCGCAAGAGGCGTGCTCTCACGCAGCGCAAAACGAGAGATTACCTGTCCAGGTGGTCGTCCAGGTGCTCTACTTCGAGCAAGTGAGGCTCCGGGCAGCGATGGCGGCGTCCATGATGGAGGGAGACAACCTTGGGCATTTCCACCACAAGCTTGGCAGCGGTGCCCTCAGCGCCGCCATCTCGCCGAGAGATCACTACGCGTCAATCCGGAGGGAGAATCGCGAGCTCAAGCTGGAAGTTGCGAGGATGAGAATGCGGCTTACCGAGCTGGAGAAGGAGCACGTATGCATGAAGCAGGAGATGGAGAAAACGAGCTCCACGGCGCACAACTTCCTACATTCCGTGTCGAGGAGGCTGAGCCGATTGAATCCTTTCGGATCGAGGAATCAATCGCACGTCGCGGCGCCCCAGACGCCGGATTCGCGCGTCTCCAGCCGGAGGAGACGCCATTCCATCTCGTGAATGTCAAACCCTAGAACACCGAAATTTTCAAATTCTAGGGCTCTTTTAGAATCCCTCTCTTCTCTTTCGGATCAGTTCGCATCGCGGGATCAATCTGAGCAGCATTTCTACTCCATAGCTCTTGTTTGTGTGGATTTTACAGCGCATTTCGACGATCTGGCCCCCTAGATCGTCAAGAAAAAGGAAGAGCTCATTCTAGGGCTTCTCTTTCGGATCAATGCAGCATCTAAGCACTCTATAGCTCTTGTTTCTGTGGATTTTACAGCGCTTTTGGAAGATCTGACCACCAGATCCTCAAGAGGAATGGTCTTGGACAAAAGATCTATCGCGGCCGTATCGAGAGGAACATCATAAACGATGAAAGGAGTTATCCACGAGGCGGTAAAAAAACTCTTTTCTTTCTTTCTTACTTCCTGTTCTTACAAGTAGCACATTCTTGCAGCAAAGATCGTGGAGTGGTGAAACTGAGGTAAAAAAACATCTCTGTGCTTTTATGTCTCAGGTGAATCTCAAAGCCAAACTTCTTTTAACGTCTCCCTGTAGGAATCTCGCAGAGAAGAAAGCAGCGAGCGAGTTTCAGCGCGATTGTTCTTCTTAAGAACAGTCGACTCTCGTTTTTTTCTTCCTCCATGAAAACTTCGCACGGAGTCTTTGCTGGTCATTATCCGAATTTCCGAAAGATCTATCACAACACAGCAAATGGAGGGATATGCTCCGGCCGGTAATTGCTTGTCTTTATTTTCTCGCTTGTGCTCCAGTGTTCTCACTGGATTGTTTTTTTCCTCTCCAGCTTAACGACAAGATTAGCAGCATCTTAGTCCTCCACTGTTTGGAGCTGTGCTTCCTTATATGTATCCAATCCAGCCGCGCATGGAGAGGTAAAACACTCGCCCTGTGTTTTCAATCCTTTTTTTTAGTTCCTCGCAAGCGCACAGGATGCAAAATCAAAACGATCACTTTGATGTGATGCCGGAAGTCATTCTTCCGGGATTCAGGTTCCATCCCACTGACGAGGAGCTCGTTGGGTTTTATCTCCACCGGAAAGTCCAGCACAAAACTCTGCCTTTCGAGGTGATCACGCAGCTGGACATTTACAAGTATGATCCATGGGATCTCCCACGTAAGTTTGCTTTCTCGTTCGGGTTTGTCGGTGATACTAACTTGGTTTTTTCTTCTTTTGTTCTTGCCAGACATGGCGGTCTCTGGAGAGAACGTCTGGTATTTCTTCTGCTTGAGGGATCAAAAGTATCGAAACAGCACGCGGCCGAACAGAGTGACCAAGGGGGGATTCTGGAAAGCAACGGGCCCGGACCGTGCCATCTACACGAGCGACGGATCCAAATGCATTGGCCTCAAGAAATCTCTGGTTTTCTACAAAGGCAAAGCTGCCAAAGGCACCAAGACCGACTGGGTGATGCACGAGTTCCGACTTCCAGTCCTTGGTTCTACCAAGGATCCATCCAAAAAACGCCCTCCAGTCTTTGAGGTACTGGAAAGTTCTCTTCTCTCTTTTTTTTAAGCTAGTTCACTGATCACTGGCATTGTTCTTCCAGGAATCCTGGGCTGTTTGTCGCATTTTCAAGAAGCGCTCCATGGTGAGACGAGCTCCGTCAAACTCCTGGACCCCGGATCTCCCCGCAACAGACAAGCCATCGCTCGAGTCTCCATCGATTCCACAGCAGCAGCTCAACGCGATCAAGACTGTGCTTGTTCCACTTCCAAGCCTGGATTGCGAGAGTTTCATGGACACGACCAATCCTTTGGTCGATAGCGAGGAGAGCCCATCGTGCTCGACGTTTGGATCCAGTGCTTCTTCCTCGTCTTCGTGGGAATTGTCCGCTCTTATGGACTTGGTAGCTTCATAGCTTGCCACATCCATCCATCATAGTGTACATTCTATACTTTAAAAGCACGCTTTTCCTTTACACTTTAGTCGGCCTTTATGTTAAAAAGTGCCAAAACCTTCCCCTGTTTCTAGGGCTAGGGTTTTGCAGCTTCTTCCAAGTTCTTTCAGGGGGGACTCTTTCTTGCGGCTATGGTCGGGAGTGGAAGCCCTGAGATTCAATCCGCCGGGATCTCGTCATCAGACGACGACGAGGATTCCACGGCTGGGGTGGATTATCTGCGGCGGCGGCTCAAGCGATTGATCTCCAGGCACGATTCCTTGGAGGAGGAGGCCGCGTATTTCCCATGGATGCATTCTCACAATCAGGTCAGTCGCGGATTTCGAATCCATGGCTGCCGCATTCTTCTCCTGATCGATGCGCCTGCGGCATTTGCAGTCTAGCTCTGGATTGCTGCTCTTCAAGCTCGCATTCCAATCGATTGGAGTCGTCTATGGCGACCTTGGGACGTCGCCATTGTACGTCTTTAGCAGCACTTTCACTGGCGGGCATATCCCAAATCCGGAGAAGGATATCGTCGGGGCCTTGTCGCTTATTCTCTACACCTTGCTTCTCATCCCGCTTTGCAAATACGTGCTTGTGGTGCTGCGAGCAAACGACAATGGCGAAGGTAAGCGTGAACAGTTCTTCCAGAGATTCTAAAAGAAATTTCTGTGTTCGTTCTCGTATTTTCAGGTGGTACCTTTGCACTGTACTCTTTGATCTCTCGGTATGCCAAAATCAGCGTGGTTCATCCTACAGATCGTCAGCTTTCGACTTATAAGTTGCAAGTTCCTAGCAAAGAGCTGGAACGGGCCCTGTGGATCAAAGAGAAGCTCGAGAACAGTGGGCTTCTGAAGAACTTACTGCTCCTTATCACGTTAATTGGAACCTGTATGATTATAGGAGATGGAACACTTACACCAGCGATCTCGGGTACGTTTTCTTTGCTGGTAATTACAGACGGGATTGCTTTCTCTGTTTTTGTTTGCTTTAGTTCTATCTGCTATCAGTGGTCTGAAAGTGGCAGTACCAGCTATGGACCAAAGTAATCATTTCTCCACAATGCTTTTATGTTTGGCATTAATTCTTTCTTTCGTGCTCAGATGTCGTTGTTATTGTTTCCATTGTGGTCCTGGTCATCCTCTTCAGCTTGCAGCGTTTTGGAACGTCAAAAGTGGCGTTTCTTTTTGCCCCTGCTCTGCTGTTGTGGTTTCTTACAATTGGTGTCATTGGACTCTACAATTTGAGCAGAGGAGACATGAGGGTCTTCCAAGCTCTCAATCCGTGGCACATCTATCTCTACTTTAAGAGGAACGGGAAGGTTGCATGGATATCTTTGGGAGGAATTGTCTTGTGCATTACAGGTAGCCATAATTGTGTTTGCCAAGACGTTCTGTTTTGATTCGGTTCTCCTGTAGGAACCGAAGCTATGTTTGCTGATCTTGGCCACTTTTCTGTGAAATCTATTCAGGTCTCAGGGCACGGAATGGCCTTTTCTGGGATGTATTCAGAAAGCCTCAGTGTTTACTGTATCTTTCAGTTTATACTAAAGCCGGAACTAAGTTGTCTTCTTTTTGTGCAGATTGCGTTTACAACAGTGGTGCTTCCGTGTTTGCTTTTAGCCTACGGTGGACAGGCTTCGTATCTTATAAGAAATCCCGAACATGTGGGCGAGGCATTTTACAAATCGATTCCTGGTATACACGTGTTGTTTTCGTAGATTGACGAACATTTTTTTTTTCACTTTTTCCTTTTTTGAAGGTCCAATCTTCTGGCCTGTATTCGTAATAGCAACTATGGCTGCTGTTATCGCCAGCCAGGCTATGATATCAGCAAGTTTCTCCGTTATGAAGATGGCAGAATCAATGGGATGTTTTCCTCGGGTGCATATTCTTCACACGTCAAAGCGGTTTCCAGGGCAGATTTATATACCTGAGATAAACTGGCTTATCATGATCCTGACTGTAGCTCTCACGGCAGGATTCAAGGACACAACTCAACTTGGAAACGCATATGGTAAGTTCGTTTTTCTTGTATGAATTTGCCTTGCCAAACGCATACTTTCTCCAGGTATTGCCGTGGTTGCCACGATGTGCGTCACAACTTCTTTGGTCACGCTCATCATGTTAATGATCTGGCAGATCAATGTCCTCGTAGCACTGGGTTTTTTCCTTCTGTTCGGAACCATTGAGCTGGCGTACTTGTCATCTGTTCTTTTCAAAGTCACGGAAGGTGGATGGGTTCCACTAGTTCTCGCAGCCGGTCTCCTCTTCGTCATGTACATATGGCACTATGGCACGAAGATGAAGCACAAGTACGAAGTGAGGCACAAGCTTCCAATGGACTGGATATCTCAGCTGGGCTCCAATCTCGGGACAGTCAGGGTGGCCGGCTTGGGACTGGTGTACAACGAGCTCGTCCATGGCGTCCCGGGGATTTTCCACAGGTTTATCACTTACCTCCCTGCAATTCACTCGGTGCTGGTGTTTGTCTGCATCAGATACGTGCCAGTCGCGACGGTTCCTCGCGAGGAAAGGATAGTGGTGAGGCGTATCGGCCCCAAGAGCTATCACATGTACAGGTGCATCGTGAGGTATGGATACAGGGACATGCGAACCGAGACGGCGTGGCTATTCGAGCAACTGCTGGTGGAGTGCCTGGAGAACTTTATCCGCCGCGAGGCTCGGGAGGAGGCTTTGGAACGAGCAGAGAACGCCGCCGCCGCCGCCAACAACGAGAGCTTGTGCACGCCGCTTCTGCTGAGAAGGGTGGAGTCCGGGGAGTTCGAGGAGGACTTGATGGTGGCGGACAACGACGACGAGGCTGGCTCGTCCGTGAGCGAGGACGATTCTCTGGCGTTGCTGAGGAAGTGCCGAGAGACCGGGATCGTCTACTTGCTCGGCCACGGCGACGTGAGAGCTCGAAAGGACTCGTTCTTCCTTAAGAAGCTTGTCATCAATTACTTCTACGCGTTCCTCCGGAGGAACTGCAAGCAGAGAGCCGAGACGCTCAACATTCCGCCCGGCCAGCTGCTGAGGATTGGGATGACTTATTTCGTATAAGGTAAGACGTTTGATATCGCGCAGAACTTGTATAATGTATACTGACATTGCGGTTTCCTCGGTTTTAGAAAGGTGGCAGAGATGCAACTGTAAATGGCTTGCACATAACCAAAGGAGCTAGAAGCATTAAGAGTAAGTACCTTTTTGTCTTAAAAGGGAAGTTCTCATGTAGCCAAGGTTACAGTGGGGGGAGGAGGAAGACAACGATGGCTTTGCCACAAGAGGTTGTGGAGGAGATACTGCTCAAGCTGCCCTACTCGTCGCTCTTGGCTGCCAAGTGCGTTTGCAAGGCGTGGAAAGCAGCGATGGACAGCTCCAGCTTCAAGAGCAGCTACAGGGACAGTGCTAAGTTCTTCACGAAGGACAACTGCGTCGTGGACAGCAGCGGCAAGATGATGCGATGGGCGCCACGCGGTGATGGTCCGCAGCCAGACTGCCTGTGCACGGTCTCGGAGGACAAGCGTTTCATGCTGGCTCGCTCCACACTCCAGAGGAGGCTGTACCTTGGGAATCCTTTCCTCAACCAGTGGGAAGAGATTCCGTTCGTGCTTTCGAGTGACTGGTCCAGGGCTTGCATCTTCAACAGCAAGATCGTGGTGTGGGACTTGGAAGTTTTCACCTTCACACGCAGGGACAAGGATTGGTTCAGATTGGAAGAAGCCAAATACTTGGTAAGCCCTGTGGTGATAGACAACAAGATGTTTTACATGAATCTTCTATGCACGAGAGTGACCGAGTTTGACACCACAACTAATAGCTTTTCCTATTGCACCTTGCCCAGTGATGGCCACTTGGAAATCCAAGCTCTATCTAGTGAATGCTAGTGCCCGCGAGCCTAAGGTCCAGATCTTGGAGTTTGATTTGAAAGTCGAAGAGTTTAACTTGAAACGTGGTGTGGTGAGCGAGTATGTGATCGATTCTGGTGATCTCAGGTTCACTGGTCAAGCTGGGAACTACCTGAGTTTTTGCTCCCACAAGATGAAGACCTACGTCTCCTACGACATGGATGCCGGGACTTGGGACAAGAACATCTACCGGCCTTTCTCGACAATTCTGCAAATACAGATATCGCTTGATTGGTCCAATGCATGGTCAGTTAAATCTAAGAGTCCCTGTGATATTTCGGTCGGAAGCAGTGAAGGAGATCTTAAAAATCGAGATAACTACTGTGCTCTTGTAACTTGATTTTTATCTTTCACAGTTTACGATTATTTCTTATGCATGTCTCACCATCCTTGATGTTTGTTCCACCCCAGGAACTCGTGCTGCTTGTGCGCAAAGTTCTTCACGCAGTGCCTGGTTCTTTGAGACCTTGAAGGATCCCGTTTCTTTTGTGGCTTGTCAAACTCCGAGCCTTTGTCCAGCTCCACACGGTTTGGCAATTCCAGCGATGGACACGGTTTGGCTTGCCAGTTTTTGTATGAGATACACTGGCTTATCATGATCCTGACTTTAGCTCAACTCAAATTGCAACACAAAGCTACTGGAATCGTAACTATTGCTTCCTTCCATCGATTTGCTTCTCACACAGGATAGAAACTCATTTCGTGAACAGGTGCTAATCGTGTTACTTCTAGTCTTGGCTACTTCTTTTGTTTCCCATCAAGCCTCTGAAGAAAACAAAAAACTGTTTTTCTGAATCAGCCAAGTTTAAATGCTACAAACATTCAGTATATGATCTTTCTTCCTAGCTTGCACTTACACCACCAATCGGTGTAGAAAGTTGTGTACGACCAGACAAAGCTCCAGAACCACCAGCGGCCTCTGTTTTGTAAGATATCTCCGCTCACTTCTTGCCTTGATGAGCCACCTTCTCTCCAGCCGATGAAAATCTGCCACCGAAGTTCTATCACTCCCGACGGGGAGCATCACGGAGTGTTAAGCCACCGGCTTCAAGTTTTGATCCATGCCTGCGGCAACCACTGCACGTCCTGATGCATTTGCATCGAAAGCTGGAACTCAGTGAGGCAGGAGCCCTCTCGTTCTCCTCCCCCACCTCCTCCTGATCACCGAGAGGAAGTAGAGGACGAAGAGGAACAGCAGCGCAACCAGCAGCCTGGCAAGGATTGGAAGAAGCAGCGGGGTTGCCGCCACAGCCGTCGCTTGCAAGTTGAGATCATTGGAGGAAGCCAGCTGAAGATCCGCATTGCTGTTGCTGCCGCCACCTTTGCTTTCCAACAGCGAGTTCAGGAAGGCATCACTGCTGCTAATGCCTTCTCCTTCAAACAACTCGATGAAATCACTGGCACTGCCGCTGCTGCTGCCCACCCCGACGTCATCCACTAAACTATGAGAGCTCGATATTGAAGTCTCTTCAGCTTCTTGAAAAGTTTCGGTGTTGATCCTCTTGGCCTTCCCACCATCCTCGCCCAAGCTTCGAGGGAACCACCGCCACATAAAAGGTGGTGGCGATGCTGGTGGTGGTGAAGCATTGCTACGAGCCTCCTTAGTGTCAACAGTGCCGCCAGCCAGTAACTTCTGAGATGGAAATCCTGTGGCTGCATGGGACTTTAGCACCTGTTCAATTTTCAATCTTAGTACGAATATATCTGATTCCTGTCAGCAGAGGCATACCTTGTAAGATGACTCCTCGGCCATTGCTGCTGCAAGTTCCTCACTGTTCTTGTATGGAAGCCTCCTGTGCATTCCCACGCCATCGCCTCGCAAGCTCCGCCAAAAGACTGAAGCTGGTGTCGATGAAACATCAGCTTGCCTCAACAACTTTCGAGATCCTGCTGCTGCATGAGACTTTAGCACCTGTTCAGTGTAGATCTTAGTACGAATACATATCTGATTCCTGTCAACAGAGACATACCTTGTAGGATGACTCCTCGTCCATTGCTGCCATAAGTTCTTGTCCTTCACTATTCTTGTCTGGAGGCCTCCTGTGCTTTCTCATGCTGCTGGTGCCATCGCCTCTCAACCTCTGCCAAAAGACTGAGGCTGGTGGTGATGAAACACCGCCTTGTTCTTCCCCATCTTGTTGAGCGCTCAGTGGAGCTATGAAGCGATCCACCCAGCGGAACAGAGAAGGTCCATTCTCGTTGGAGACGAAGATAGGAGGACCTGGCGCTGCTTCCAGAAGCATCCGTCGGGAACTGGTAACTGGGACTCGATGCCACCCCAGGAAGTTTGTGAGTTCTTCCCATAATTCCTGGGACGTCACCTCGTCCTCCTCCAAGCCCGCGTTCAAAAGCCTACTCCACATTTCTTCCTTTATCGACTGGAGACTGGTCGGTAGCTTCCAAGTCCACTCTCCAACTAGCTTCTTAAGTTCCTCCACCTCCAGATGCAAATCGGCTCTGGACGGTAGCTCAATCGACGGGAGTGTCCAGGTCTGAAAGAAGCTCTGGATATCCTCCCAGCTCAGGTTGTCGTCGTTGTCGTCGATTGCAAGCGTCTTGCCACCGAGAGAAGTATACCGAACTGAATCCTCAGAGCCAGCCATGACCGCCTCTAGCTGCAAGAAAAGGTTGGTGCGGTTCCAGGCAAACCATCTAAGCTCTTGAGTTACCTCTTGCGAATCATGGTTGTCATCCTCGAGTACAGGTAATGGTGGTGGATCGTACTCGGGAACACTTGATGCTGCCGCGTGACTAACTGCCTCGAGCTGCGAGGGTGGTGCTGGCGAGGACGAATCCTCCAGCTCGATTGGAGCAACCGGCTGCAAGAGAAGATTAGCTACATCTGGAGTTACCTCTTGCAAGTCATGCTCGTCATCCTCCTCGAGTACAGGTGCATCATACTCGGGAACACTTGATGCTGGGTCACTGCTGGCGATCACTGCCTCGAGCTGCGAGGGCAGTGCTGGGAAATCCTCCGCTTCCTTGTCCGCTGTTGCTGCAGGAGTCTGCCCGCACGCGAAAAATGTCAAGGAACAAGAAAAAATGAGAGAAACGAGCGAGCTGTACACACCTCAAGGAGGAGGATCTTCAATCCCCTGCTTGCCTGTGTGCTTGCCTGTGCTGGAGCGCGTCGCAACCAGGAGAACGCCAATGCTAGAGCTTCCATCGCCGCCAATATAATAGGGTATCGATTTAGAAGATCGTGAGACCTTTCCATACTATTTAAGTTATAGCCTCTCCATTAAATTTTTTTATTTTTTTGCCAAAATAATAAAATTATTAGCTAATAAAAGATAATATCGGAGGAATATATGTAAAGAGATTTGCTTGGATTTTGCGAATCTGAGGATCATCAGCGGCCTTCTTTCAACCGCTAATCTTAAGAAAACTTTATTTCTGGAGAGGCAAAAACCACTACCTTATTTCTTGTTTCGTCAAAAACGTCACCAAGGGAGAGAAGAACCGCAAAAATCACTACCGACAAGATGCATGCCTCAAATTTTTCCAAAAGTGCAACTGATGATTGTACGTTTCGCTCTTCCTTGCCTTTCCATGGATGAGACCTTGGTATACGTCGCCATTGGCATGCCTTAGGACCCAATTTCCATCGTAGAAGATCGTCCATCGACCTTGGAAACATAGAATCACGACGAGAAGAGAAGGGATTAACGATCGTTACTTCATTCATTTTCGGTTGTCCTCCTCCACAACATCCTTTATACAAACCATCTCCACTGATGGGGGAGTTCGCTCGTTTTCCTGATGAAACCACGCCTTATGCTTTGTCCAGGCATTGCTGTAGTTGCCACATTACTTTGGTCACGCTTATCATGTTAATCACTCGGTAAGTTTTCCTTCTTTTCGGAACCATCGAGCTGGCGTGTACTTGTCATCGGTTCTGCTCACGGAAGGAAGATGGGTTCCAGTAGTTCTCGCCTTCGTCATGTACATATGCACGAAGATGAAACACAAGTACGAAGTGAGGCACAGGGTGGCCGGCCTGGGACTGGTGTACAACGAGCTCGTCCACATGTCTCTATATCCATACCTCACGTACACGTATGTGGTAGCTCCTGGGGCCCTTTCCTCGCGGGGAACTGTTGCGACTAGCACGTATCTGATGCAGAAGAACACCGTGGAAAATCCCCACGGAGTGGTTATTCGAGCAGCTGCTGGTGGAGTTCCTGGAGAACTTTATCCGCCGCGAGGGAGGCTCGCGAGGAGGTTTTGGAACGAGCAGAGAACGCCGCCGCCGCCAACACCGAGGCCGCTTCTGCTGAGGAGGGGGTTCGAGGAGGGCTTGATGGTGGCGGACAACGACGAGCTAGGAGCTGGCATCGCCTACTTGCTCGGCCACGGCGACGTGCGAGCTCGGAACTCGTTCTTCCTCAAGGAAGTGCAAGCATTCCGTCCGGCCATGTACTCCAGCTTGAAGAGCGGACAGTGGTAAGTTCTTTGCGGAGGACAACTAGATCGAGGACAGCAGCGGCAAGCTCATGCGATGGTGGCGCCACACCGTGATTGTCCGCAGCCAGACCGCCTGTGCGTAGTCTCGGAGGACAAGCGTTGATATATTCCAGACATGAGAGGAGGCTCTACGTTTGGAATCCTTTTCTCGGGGAGAGTGGGCTGATTACGCCTTGCCCAACAATGCCAACCTTGTAGCTTGGAAATTCAAGCTCTATGTAGTGAAGATACAGTTTACAATTTTATGGTTGATCCATACCTTTACTTTGACAGAAAACAAGCTGCATGAAGGTCTCATGACCATTAGTCTCGTGGCCAGGCTTCCCAAGCATGTCATTTGGAAAGTGATATAGTTTCCTGAGCTGCAAGAACGGTAAACTATGCATTTAATTTTGTGACGCAGTAAAGAAAAATGGCCATATTCACAGTTTACGATTATTTCCAAAAAGAATCAGTCACGGTTTCACCGTGTTTAATGGGTGTTTACCATGGAGCAGACCCTCCTGATTTCCCCATTGTGCTTGTTCTTCCACCCAATGTATCCCATCTTCACCATCGAGGCCGCAAACTGCGACAAAAAGTCGTGCTGCTTGTGCGCAAGGTTCTTGACGTAGTGACTTGTTCTCGAGTCCTCGTTGAGAACTTGATCCGACATGAGGACCCCGTTTCTCCTGGCCAAGTTCTTGTGGTAGCTGTTGTCGAACACAAACTCCGAGCCTTTGTCCAGCTCCACACGGTTTGGCGACCCCGGTGCTGGGCACTGCCTCCGGAGATGAGAGAGGTATCTGGGATTGATGGTCGGGTCCGGCTTGCCAGTTTTCGTAAAGTTGTCCAAACGATTGCTGAATGTGGCGCAGCCGGCGGTACCAAGAGTGTGACCACCTGTGGTTTGCAAGGGAGTAGCGTTAATGCCTACTTACAAACTGGAGGGAAGGAGATGGAAGTTGAAATCGATTCGTACCTGAGAGAACGACGAGGTCCTGGACTGACAAGCCGCGCTCCTT